GTTTTCCATCCCACTTCCTTGTGTCCTCTCTGTGGTCATGCAGGTAAAACCACAGGGTGCCTCGTCATGTATACCCTCTATATCCTTTCTCTTGAGCAGAGGAACACTTACTAACAGCTGAGATACTGGTTCATTCAGGTGGGGAACAGGACATAGTATCTTCGAGTTGTGTCATGCAGGTAAAACCACAGGGTGCCTCGTCATGTATACCCTCTATATCCTTTCTCTTGAGCAGAGGAACACTTACTAACAGCTGAGATACTGGTTCATTCAGGTGGGGAACAGGACATAGTATCTTCGAGTTGTTGGACCTTCCAGGACAGTTTCTGCACAGCCAAGACGAGGGAGGAAGAGGGACTTTCTTTGTATTGCCAGAGTCGGCCAGCCACTTCATCCACTGTTGGTGCCTCTTCGCCTTTCCAGTCTATTACTGCCAATGAGTTGGCATACGATGATGGTGTGCTCTGTACAAGCTTCTGCCACATGGGCTGGGTACACTGGACTTCGTCAGGGTCTGTGCGTAATTGTGCGTTGTCGAGGTCATAATAAACCATCTCCCACATGGCTAATTCCTTCAGGTACTGGATACCTCGCTCCATGGAGGTCTGCTTCCCTGGATGACATACATCTTCACTGAAGGCATACCTTTCCCTCATGCCTGACAGGAGCTGCCTCCAGAGGTCAAGGGCTTGTGTCTTCTTCCCAATTGCCTTGTCAATGCCCCCTTCCCTAGACAGGGATCCCAGAGCTCCTTGCCCTCCCTGCCCTCTAATTCCAGCCTACTGGCCCCATTATCCCAGCAGCGGAGCAGCCAGGTAATGATGTGCTCACCTGGAAGGCAGCTGAAATCTTTTCACATATCTCACAGCTCACTCAGGGACAGGGATCAGGTGATGACCTCTGGTTCTGCCTCTTCCTCCTGTTGCTGTGATGGTCCAGGTTCATTGTCATCCTTCACTAAGTGAACTGATTTTTTTGTGTATTTCTTCTTGTGTACAGGTGTGACTGATACTGGTGTGGGTTGGTTTTTTCATTCAGCTGCAAAGCCTGTCACCGGGGCTGAGTAGCTGCAGTGCCTGTCGCTCTGTTCTTCCTCTTCCCCCTGATGGCGCTGCCTACTATGGAGCAGTGTTTGGCAGATACTGGCCAGGGCTCAGCACAGCGTGGCAAGTTGTGCCTCTTCGGACTAGCCACAGCATTTTCCTTTCCAATATTCTACCACTTTATCAGGGTCCTGTAGTTGTTCAGGAGTGAAGTTCCAAACCACTGGAGGTGAGAAGGTCTCTAGACACCTGCCCATACTCTCCCACATGCCATGCCACCCATGACTATTCAGCCTCAGGGCAGATCTCTGGGTGATATTCTTAAAACAATTTTTTGTAACCCTAAAGAAGACCTGGAACACATTCAGGAGACATAGCAATAGAGGCATGCTGGCTTGAACATCCCAAGGGTATTCAAAATTCTCAAAAGCTGCAGTAACCACCCTGAAGGAAAAAGAGGAGGTGAAAGAGCAGGAGAAAGTATCTTCCCCCTGTCTTCGGCAGATCTCTGGGTGATATTCTTAAAACAATTTTTTGTAACCCTAAAGAAGACCTGGAACACATTCAGGAGACATAGCAATAGAGGCATGCTGGCTTGAACATCCCAAGGGTATTCAAAATTCTCAAAAGCTGCAGTAACCACCCTGAAGGAAAAAGAGGAGGTGAAAGAGCAGGAGAAAGTATCTTCCCCCTGTCTTCCCCAGAGATTGGGTATGATTATTAATCAATTCTGAGAGATGCCATCTGAGATACAGGCATGACAGCAATGCCACGTACAAATACCAGCTTAACCTCATGACCAGTGATGTTATCATAAGTCGATATTGCACAGTACAGCAAAATGAGAATCCTGACCCCTCTCCCAGAGATGACAAACAGTACCGCAGGGAATACACACAGCAAGTATGGGTTTACATACCACAGCCACGCGAACAAACAAAACACCATTGTGACCAGGGACTATTTAACTAATATAATAAAGGCATATAACAACTTTGTTTTAACATGCTTTGGTCAGATCTGTCATTATCTCAACCCTTTGAGCCCCACGTTGGGTGCCAAAGAGGACCATTGTGGTTTAGTCCCAGCTGGCAGCCGCTCACTCACTCCTCCCTCCCTGGAGGCATGGGGAGGAGAATGGGAAGGAAAAGGTAAAACTTGTGGGTTGGGACAAGGACTGTTTACTGGGACAGCAAAGGAAGAGGAAAATAACAACAACTACACTTAGAAAAGAATACACGAAGTGGGTGATACACAATGCAATTTGCTCACTGCCCAAAACGCAGTGCCCAGCCCACCCCCAAGCAGCGACTCCTCCTCCCCGGCCAGCTCCCCCCTTATATAGTGAGTATGACATCATATGGTATGGAATATCCCTTTGGCTAGTTCGGATCAGTTGTCCTGGCTGTGTCCCCTCCCAGCTTCTTGTGAAAATGAACTCTATCCCACCCAAAAATCAGGACAAACAGCCACTCGCTAAGATCTGTTTGTGTAAATTTAACATTATGAAAAGAGCGCTGAGAGGGATTGCTTTGAACGCCAAAGTCTTTATTTACCCACAGACAGATACAAAATGCGTGGCTGTCCTGCATCCTGCCGTACTAAGTGTATTGGTGAGCCCACCTGAGAGGCGGGCAGGGAGTTGTAGTAACTGATGGTGTTACTGCAGCAGTGCCAGTCAGTAACTGTTTGAGACGGTGGCTTCTGGGAGTGGGTATCTGCCTCTTAGGGCCTGGGGCATAACTGTTCCAGGGTGCCAGAGCTGTTACACCTATATATGAAGAGGAAAAAGCAACGAAACAACTAAAAAAAATTAACAAATTATAAAAGCAATGGAATGTAAAGGTAAAATTTTATAATAACTTAGTTAAAAGTATTCTTATAAAGCCTTCCTTACATGGTATAGTATTCAAAGAATGGTCCCAATGACATCAAATTCCTTCATTTTGTTTAAAAGCAATGAGGAAAATCTTTCTGCTTTACTACCTGATCTCACTTTCCTCCCCTCAAAAATCAACATTAGAGAAACATACATAATACCATTTTTTGGTTTTGATTTTAGGCACAGGCCTATGCTTCAGTCCTGGTATAACAAATATCTATAGCAGAGGGAAAGTTTCCCTCAAAATCAATTAAGAAATCTTGATTTTTAGCTCGAGTGCAAGGCTTGTCATACCACTTTAAAAAATGCAAACATGTAACACTTCCCCCTATTTTGAACTGTGCTATTTTTTTCAAAATTATTTGAAAAAAAAATAACCTTCCAACAGTGTTTATAAAAATTGATTAAAAGAACAAAGCAGTTTGATCACAAAATAGAAACCAAAGAGTTCAGGCTAGGGCAATGCTACATTTAAAACCTCTTTCAATTAATATCTCCTAATAAAACCAACGTTTTTACGTGTTGGGAACAAATAGGGATTTCGGCAATTCCAAAAAACTAAATCTGCAATCAAATCCTGAAGAAATACTTTGGAAAAAAACGTACACTTTCATGATATAGCAAGGCTTCATTTTCAAAAGGGCTACACAGAGTTTCTGCACTATTAAAGGCAAACTAAGCTAGAACATACACAAATTACTAAAGGGACATGAAGGCGCACATTGTGTTTATATAGGCTAGATAACAATGGCACAATGGCACAAGTCAAAACTTACTTGTAACACTGCCTAATCACACACCAATGACATGCACTGGGAAGAAAACAGGTAAAGACATTTTTCTTTACCATTTTTTCCTAGTTCTAATATTATTTCCATCAATACTAAATCTTGTATATTTATCTCACTGCAAGCGTGAGGACCTAATGGGAGCAAAGAATTCAAAACAGCTTTGCTGACACAACACAGTGGCGATAAGATAGTCGAGAGCAGAGCTCCTAAAAAAGTAAAGAATAATTTCAGTCTGCCAAGTCAAGTAGCCAGTTTTATACAAACTTTAGCAAAAGGAACAGAGTCAGGCTAAATTTCACATTAAAATTGTTCCTTACGTGCTTCTTCAAAAATCTATTTCACTTTTAATTAGTTGTTTTAAATTTAGTTTTTGCACTTTAGTCAAGTTTCACCTTCTGTTTCATTCATGGGGTTTTTTTGTTCCTCGTTGGGCATTTTTTGCATTATCTCAAAGTTGTAATGCTTGGACTCCAAGCGTTCCAAAGAAACGTTTGCCTCTGCATTTTACTTGATGTGAAGGAAAAAAATCAAGTATTTTTTTCAAATAATGGATTCTGTAAGATTTATTTTTATTAAGACACAAAAATCCTAGAGTATTGGGCCTAGATTGCAAGACAATATCCCTTTAAATCCAGACTTGTACAGCTCTGCAAGATCAAGTCACTTCTATTTCGCTGGAATGAAATACAGGAAAAAACAGTATAGAAAAAAATCTCTTACAATGTAAGATTTCCCCTCTCTGGTACAGGGTGTGCCTTTCCCACCACGCGCTATATTTCTTGGTGGAAGGATATTTAAAAACATGTTTGTTTAAGAATGATTGGAGAGCTATTTTGTAAGAGCACAAACAAATTGTTATGTGTGTGGTTATAGCGAGATACGCACCTGGATCATGAATGGCATTCAAGCACTTGCTCAAAAACACACAAGGCAAGCAAATCTCATTGGGACCACAGACCAAGCCATTTCTTACTTAAAAGGACTTGAGAGCTAATAGCTTCTTTCAAGGATACACTATTTTAAACATCTGTTGGTTGACAAATACTATCTCAAAAACCTATGTTTACGCCTACCTGGTTTGATTTTAACCCACCTCCAACCTGAAAGTATTTTGGAGGGAACCTTTTACATTCGTAACAATTCAAGTGTAACTGTAATGCTGAGTAACAAGTTTGGTTTGTCCTGAAATTTTCTGAACTATGCAGTTCATTATCAGTGCAGAAGCAGCAGAAGACTGCTGTGGTTGGCTCAGTGGATTTATAAAAACAAAACAAAACAAAAAATCCCCCCCATGTAACCTTTACAGAATATATGTAAAATTGTGTCCTTCCCTGGTCATATTCACAACTTATCTACAAGATAGTGTTGGCAGTAGAAACTGCAGTCCATGACTATTTGCATTCAGCTCTCATCCATCTGTTCCTCTGCTTTCTCTTAGGCTTCAACTTGTTCAGTTTTTTGCGGGGTTTCTCAGTCTTCTGAGTTTCAACAGAATCCACCCCGAGAACGTGTTCAGAGCAGCATAACTGTCCATTCAACATAGAATTTAGTACTGTCCCATCTTGGTGTTCCTTGCAGAAAGAATTTGGGCAGAAGTGGCAGAAAGAAACAGAAGGTTTGCCACAAACATCACAATGGTGCCAAGGACACTCCCACTTTCCTGCGATCAAAACCAAAGAGCGCGTTAGTTGGGAGTGAAACGTGTCATCATCTTTTAAAGAAGTTTTGTGTTTCAGCAGCTGAACAACGCATGACTTTCCTGACAAAGCAAGATGAGACAGCAACTACTGTGGCTAATCTCAAAAACCAAAATGCTACATCATACTTCTAAAGCTCAGCTGACAGCAATAAGTAGCACACTTGACATCCCCTCATTTAAATACAGAACTTGCAGGCTGGTAGAGTATCCAAACATCCAGGCAGCTGCTGCCTACCATTACAACGCTCACCTGTTTGTTGCAAGTTTTGCTCAGGGATGGCTGGCGTGCTATACCTACAGACGCTCTTTTGTCCCAGCATATTTTACCAGTCATTGTTTTACTTGTTTCTGGGATAACAGGCTTTGCCTGCTTCACCTCTTCAAATCCCAGCAGACATTGCTGACTGTGGACCCAGGTAATTCCTGTGGTATCTGGCACTGCAATCTGATGTCTGGTGCCCTTAACGTTTTCCTACTCGTCTTATTCCAGATGCTGCTGTCATTCTTTTGGCTTGAACTCAACTGGCCTCATGTATTTCTTAGATATAATCAACTTTCCTGTGACAGGGGCACAGTGTTCCTACCAAGTGATGTACTCAATTACCTACATTTGTAAAACAAAAGGCTCATTTTGCCAGAGAGGCAGGAGGAAGGCCATCATTCTGTCCCCATACTCAAGAACAGCTCCTATGTAATGCACAAAGGATGTTCTCACCATATGAAAACAGTGTTTGCGAGATGACACTCTTGACAAGGTTTCAGTGCAATAAATGAGGTACTAAGAGGCAAGCTGACTCACCAAAGGGACGCTTCACCAAACCAAGACAGGAGAGATGATAAGCTTTAGTACAAGATTTCCTGTCGCACAATACCAGCTGGCCTCCATCACCACAACGGAAACAATCGTCTTCAGATTCTTTCTTCCCTTCATTTTTCGTTCTGCGTCTCCGTGTTCTCTTTTTGGTCTTTTTGCCTTTTTCTTCTGAGGCATTAGTGGAGGAATTCTAAAAGAATAAGATGCAAATCTGTAAATGCCAGTTTTACACAGGAAAAATTTTATACACCCTAACAAAACTGTTGGCATGCCTGGCTGACCGTGCCAGGTATAGGCAGGACTTGGTATAGACCTGTCCAGAGCCTCACGGTGCCTATCTGTGTTGACAAAAAACCCCACACTGACCCTTGTAAAAAGTCATCTTGAAACCAGATCTTGTCCCTACAATCCCTTCCTACTGGAAAGCTCCTCCACTTTCTTACGACTGAAAAAAGGTCTTCCAATTTCAAATCTAATCTACTCGCAGCTAATTTACCTCTATTTTATTCTTGCACCACCAATCACTTCACTATACATTTTTCTCTTCCAGTTGTGTATACTCATGCTGGAATTATTAAAAACAGTCCTCGCTTCCCTTCTTTCAGGAACAGACAGCAGAATTTCAGGAAGTGTAATTATGCCCATAATGCTAGAAAGAATATACCAAGTCTTATCCCTATTTCAGTCTGACATTCTGCTGTCTGCACTTCAACTGTCCTTCACCAAATCATATAAAATTCATTCTGGATGTTTTGTCAACATCCCTATCATCATTCCCTCCCCCTCCCCCCCAGAAATCATTGCCTACTTTCTTTAAAATTAGCCCATTCTGTCTACCAATGCAGACAGCCCTGCAAAACTGAACTGTAACATTTCATTTCTTCATGGCTGTCTGCATAAATGGTACGTGAAATCCCGCTTAAGCCTCTCCCTTAACAGAAACCAGCTTTGCGAATTCTGGAGATTTTAAGTCCCCCCTCTGAAGTGCCTGATGCTGAGCAGTGTGAAGGATCACAGGAAGGTGCAGACTTTCTACATCCACAGCTGAGATTTTTTTCTCTTGGGAATGTACTTGTACCTTCCCTTGCACTTCTATGCCAGCCCTTCAGGAAGCCCCATCAACTTCTGCTGGATTACAGGTTTTAAATTAACCTGATGTGAATCATACAGGCCATTTCTTGATGTAATTTGGTATCATTTTTTCTCATTCAAAACTCACATTTTTTATTCTTCTGTTCAACTGAAAGATTTTTAACAAATCGTAATAAAATAATTATATTTTAAGGTTTAGATGGGGGAAATATAAACTGTAATGTCAGAATAATCTCACTGGCTATAGTTAGGCTCGTTCTTAGTCAGTTCCTAGCTTCTATAACCGTTCCCTTCCTTCGTATTTCAAACAGGACTGGGAAGGTTATTCCTTCTGCAGCCCCTTCTTTTATATGCTTTTGATTCCAAAAGCTAGTGCCAGTAGCTAGCAATATTTCTTATTCAGGACCTAAAGTAATTAATTACTCATAGCAGAAAGTGGGAGAAAAAATTTAGGATGTCCCCAAAAGCAGCATCGCCTGCTATACCATTACAGCATAAAAATGTATTCTTTACCATCAAGGTTATCTTTGGCAAAAGAATGTTTCCATCTTCCCAGCAAGGGAAACAGTAAGCTTTTTTCGTCAGAGGACTGCTAGCACCTGTTCAAGCAGCATTAACCCTTATCATAACATAAAGCTGGTCCACCAACGCATATCCCAAAAGAAAAACAAAGCTAGTAGTTTGACAAGACACCGTCACATTCTCTTGACATATTACTTGCCTTTGGTCTGTCCCCAAGAAATCCACTGCAGTTTGGGGCACCACATTTGCAGACTGTTTTTTCATTGCCCAGACAGTCAAGGTTGTAATTAAAAGTCAGCTCTGTCCCTGAAGTGAGATAAGACAGACCCTTTCATTATGAAGGACAAGGTAACGAAGTCTATCAAAGTTATTACAAACAAATAAAGATTTCATTATCTGTCCTCTGGTTTTGTACTTGCTTGCTGATCTATTATCATAGCTATATATATAAATAGAAATATGTGTGTGTACACAAACCAGAACATACATATTTTTAAACATCCTTCTTGCCCCACTCCTTAGGTTTATTATTGTCACTTGAAGAAAAGATACAGAAATGTTGTTTGAGATCTCTAGAAAAATATTTGCACTGATTCGGTTAAACCACGACTGTCTCACTCATAACCGTGCAAAAGGTTTAATTTAGGGAATTAAAACCAACATAAGCTGATATACCTGCAGGAATATCACACACAGCAAACAGGCCGACACGAGTGTCTCCATTTACTGTCCATTTTAGAGTTTCACAATTTGGTTGGCAGCTGTGATTCATAAAACGAGAGTAGTTTCCTTTGGGGCCAGCATCAATAATACGGTCCTGGAGATCAAACCAACAACAGAATGAATGTTTTTTCTACCCCCTCACAAAAAAATTAATTCCATAGATTATTTCAGCAGTTGCATTCAAAGCAGACATGGCGTTGCTACCCAGAAGCACACCAGCAAACTGATGGTACATGTTGTATTGGAAACTGTAGTGTCTCATGTAGCCTGGAATGTGACACTCCCAAAGCAATACTCGTGCTCTAGCTCACGTTTTCGCAGAACTCATCGCAGCCACGCGGCAGGATAAGTGTTCTCGTGAGCACTGTGGTGGTCATGTCAAGAACCCCCTCCCTCCAAAAAGCCTCAAAACTCAAACTCAGTCCATTTACCTTTTACTTTGCATTCACAAAGCTGTGACGCATTTACAAATACTGTGCTTTATGGTATTTACCAAGTCACTGCATGATTACTTGCAGAGATTACCAGTTTCTCACCAGCTTTCTTTCCCCAAATTAGCCTAGTTTAAACAAAAACAAGCTCTTGGTAAACTAAAAAAATCCCATCCCTACACACAATTGCCTTTTAATTTGTATCTCCACCACACATACCAGACATTAACAGAATAAAACAAAGTCTTAAAATAGCCAAAAGAATTTTGAAACTGTGATTTTTCGCAGGGCTGCTTAAGATGGCTTTGCTTATTTATGAACAATTCTTACAGTTTCCTTCTAGCTCATGACTGCCATGACTATGTGCACATATACCCAGCCACTCCAACTGCACGTACAGCTCAGCCTCACAATGGCACGGGCATTTTTGAAAGACAGAACCACAATGATAATTTATTAACTACAGCAAGAGTCGAATACACGTTCAGTTGTAATTAAAAGTCAGCTCTGACATTGTGTGTCCGTTTAGTAGCGGGTGAGGTACTGAAATGTTCAGAGGAACATGGTTTCATCCTTCTCAAATGACAAATCTTGTGCAGGAACTCCTGTTACAGGATTAATGAAAACAGTAGCTGTGGAAACACAGCAGGATCGTCTCAGGCAAAAGAAAGGTGATTAGGACTGAAAAAATATGCAGGATTGACAGCCAACGCTTGTTTTTCTCCTAAGTAGCTGTTTGTGGACTGAAGCAATACTATATATATATATATATAATCAATGCCCCCTACTGTCCGGGTTCTCTGCTTTCTTCCCCTTCTCAGGAACAAAATACTCAGAGGAGTGCACAGAGAACCACAGATGCTGGATTAATTTGCTGCGTCAATTAATCTGCTGGATTAATTTGCTGCAGAATCAATTTGCGGAGGGCTGGCTGGCTACTAATGCAGAGAGAGCTTTCAGAAAACAGTTTCTACAAAAGCACAAGCCTAGTTTTGCTATAAACAAAGGAAGGGACAGACAGTTGCAAAAAAGAGTAAATGCCCAATACAGGACACAGCCTGACAACTGCATTCCACACTACTCTCAAGTGAGAATTTTTTGTTGTTGTTGAAATTTTACTAAAAAGATTGCTAGCAGTAATTCTTTCAACTGTATCATTACTATTTCCCAAAACTTCACCCTTGCTTTTAAGACTAAGCAGATAAATACTTTTGCTGTACTTGGTTTCAAGCAACAACGCGTAATTTATAGACCTTAATATATACTTTATTACATCACATAGTTAGAACTAACGAGATGCATTTTTTATCTCTCTCTCTCTCTCTCTATATATATATATCTAAAATGGAGCAAGCAGGCACAGAAGATACAACATTGTGAAATGAAACATATGAAACTGTGGAACATCAAAGGTAGCAGAGTGCCCTACCAAGGTGATCAACAGAAGGAAGAGAGATCAAAATAATGTTATAATTAAATAAAGGGAAAAAAAAGTAAAATACTCTACCTTATCAATAGTAAGCATATAGAAGTGGGTAATGTCATTTTCATGTGCGTATTTGATTCTTGCCATACACTCCTCTTCATCAATCAGCTCACCAACATACTCATTCACAAACTCTCCCTGAAAGATACCAAGTATCACTAGTAAAGTATATACCAAACCCACAAAGGACATCCCAAGTCACCACTTCTTTGCCAGGCGAGAACGATTCATACCTTTTTAATGTCCCTCTTAGCGACCAGGCCCCACCCTTTCCCATCGGTTTTGATGATCTTTGTCTCAGGGTATTGACGTTTTGTAAAGCACTGGTTTTGGCACCGTTCTCCCGCTGGACAAACTTGTGGATGGCATTCGTACATCAGCATCCGATTTAGGCACTCAGAATCAAAGCCACACGGGTTTTCATCTGTGGGTTTGCAGTTGCACTTGGGAATCTCAGAAATGTCAGCAGTATATATCTGCACTTTACCACAAGGTTTATTCACCTGAATAATACATTAAAATAGTTCAATCAACACTTTCAAACATTTGAATTTATTCTAAGAGTTATTACAGTGGTTACTAATTTTGTTTTGCAACACTAGATGTTCCAGTGGAAGCAAGATTTCATCATCCTATGACTGTAGAAGCACAATTACCAGCACATCATTACAACCATTCCTCCCCACCTCACCACTCAGCGCCTCCTCTCCAGTGCTGGCTTACACCTTTGAGTATCCAGTGCAATTTCCTCAAACTTTACCTTAATATGCTTGTATGGTGGAGGTTTACGTTCACTTTCTTGGGTTTCTTTGGCTTCTCGCTGTAGCTTTATTTCTCGAAATCGAGCTTCAGCTTCTTGCAAAGCTAAAAAAGATTGTTGTATCAACAGAAATGCTAGAAAGAGGATTACTCCTCCCAAGTTGACTTGCTCATTCCCATGTGCGTTAAACAAAGAATCATCTTCTACTTTCTAGTCCCATCATTCAATTTTCTTGCAAACAATGTTTCTGGAGTGTTCATGCTCTTAACGGATGTATCAATTCTACTCTTTCTGTCTCCCAGTTACACTCATCATTTCTTTTCCAGAAAGTAAAAACAGTCAGAAATAATGTAATTAGATGCTAATCTCTTACAAGTCATGAAAATAACGCTTTCATTTAAAGTTAGTAAGAATGACTGCTGCCCAGGACACCAAAACAATTTTTTTAATTCAGTATTGTAAAACAAATGTACAAAACCAGACCTAAGGCTATGTGTGAAGAAAGCAAAGCATGCATATCACATTTTTGTTTACTTTTAGCTATGTACCATTTTTGAAGACTTTTCCAATTCCTTTGATCCCCTGGTATCTACTCCCTCTGTCTCCCTCCATATACGGGAACACTCGTGCTTGGTGTGTCCAATAGTAATCCTTAGAACCAAAGAAAAACACAGGAAATTCTCCAATTTCATGCTTCATTTTCTGGATATTTGGGGGAACGTTTTTCGGATGGCAAACTTCTGCAGGCCACCACCTAGCACAGAAGCACAAATTAAAAAATACAGCATTTTAGTCAAGCTCTTTCTGCAAGAGAAAGTTAACAAAATCACCCTAAACAGCACTAAGTGATTATTATTTCCAAGATCCAAGTGGATTTAAAATCCTCTCCTCCTCCCACTCACTAGGCAACGAGAGAAGACGGGACTAGCAAATGAAAGCCCGACACTCAAACCTGTGGGACTTTTGCCCACCCGTAGGATAAGCTCCTGCCATCTGGTTAGCAAAAACATCACCTTTAACAAGGCCTGCAATCACTGTAATTGTCAAAGATCAAGGGACAGCTGATAATAGCTATTAATGCTTTGATATAGCTATTAATGCTTTCTAGGATAAGCCCCACCCACCTCCATCTCACTCAAATCTCAGTGAAGTGTAAAACATGGACAACCTGAGTGACTTATTTCCCAGCCTGCAAGGTAGTAATTTAGCCAATTACAAGTTATACCAGCTTAATTATTTGAAGAGATCTCTGAAACAAAAGGGGCTGAAGGCTCATACACTGGAAGCAGGTGCCAGAAGACTACCAGGAGTCCTGTATGGGGAATGTCTTGGCCGAGAGCAACAGGGAAGCTTCAACTCTTTGAACTTGAAGCTTGCAAGGAGATGGGGTCCCTAGTTCACCGAGGAATGAGAAATCTGCATGCAGCAAGGCTGGCCCACAGAAGCAACCAATTGTATGATCTTTAACTAAACATGTCAGTACTCTAAACAAAATAAATCTGTCCATCGGACCTGTAATTTCCCAGTTTAACCCAAATAATATCCTGGAAATGGAGCTTCTTCCCCGCTCTACAGTCATTGCAGTACCAGCTCCCATCTGGCATTTCAATGTTTAAACAGTCTGGGTGAAACGCTGCAGGACATGACTCGCAGCACAACAAGCTTCCTCCTTCAGAGAGAGAGAGAGAAAAAAAAAAAGTTTGAAAAACATCAAGACAAAAATAGAAGTTTTGTATTCCAACCAGGTTCAAAGCAGTGCAATACACATGTGGTAAGTTCAATTACAGAATAAATGGTTAAAACATGCTGGCCTGCAACAAATATTTCTTAGTTGTGTACAAAACCCAAAAGGTCCTTACTAATTTGAATGCCTGGCAGACCCGGATTAGTAATACACTGAAAATAAAAAGCAAGCTAGAGATAAAAAAGCCAGAATAATGGACCACAAATCATAATCACTTTGTTTCACTTTAATGACTACAATATATTTAACATGGTTTAATATATAGTAATATTTCACTGTATGCAAAATTTTAACAAGATTTCTTCTTTTTTTTTTTTCCTGGGGGAAAGGGAATAATGTTGTTAGTTTGTTACATGGATTATCAAGTGGGAAGTTAGCTGCAGCTTAAAAGCTGCTGTGCTGCATGTTAATTTGATAACAAATCAGGTAAACTTCCACTGCTACAGTTTAATCAGCACTATGCATTTGGTGGTTCTCAATAAGAAATAAATATATTGCACAACGCAAGCCAAAACACCCTTAATTAGTGGCACTCCCAGCAACAACTAATACTGATTCAATTTGCTGTCTGCTGCAAAACTAAAAGCAACTCTTAAAATATTTATGTTTTAATATTACACATTAGCAATGAAGAAACACAAAAAGCTTCAGTACATTGAACTCAGGGGAAAGAACAGAGAAATACTTCTCATTATGTGTCTCTGGCAAAGAATTAAATCAGGCTTCTGGTTGCTGGACAAAGTCCAAGTAAAAACATTCTTTAACAAATTATATCTGCAAAAAAAAGGACACTAAAAAACTTGAAGCAGCACAAGCCAGCTAAGTTATTTCAATACCTAACGGAGCCTAACTTAATATGCCACATTCCTAATAATTTTCTATAAACAGATTAGAAAAATAAAACTTAAAGTGAAGAATAAAACATTCTGATGCGGCATTTATGAAAGAGTTTTATATCAGTTTACCTTTTGAACATACAAAGCACCAGCTCACATTGACATGTGCATGATGACTCTTTCCTTTCATGGCAGTGAAATGATTCGTACAAACAATGCTGTTGGAAGCGATGACTGCACATCCCGCAGCAATGCAAACGTCTCCAGCATGGTATGCAACAGGACAGCGAACACAACGCATCATCTTTCCTAGCAAAGCAGAACATCGCTATATTATTTTTGAAGAAAACTGATTTATTATTTGAGCTAAAAGCCTGAGGTAGCCTGTACGCACACAAAAATATATCAATTATGTTTTCAAAGTGTGCATATTTGCATTTAGCAACAACACTAAATCAACAAAGGTTCTGAAAGAGCCCTACACTGACTTTCAAATGCTATACTATTTAAATGCCAAGGTTTTAACTATGCACACCAGGGTAGACAAGCTTTCCTCAGTCGTGCAGTTTTTGTCTACAGACGTTGCCCAAAGCTAAAGCTACGCCCAGAATCAAAGGTCTCCACATTCGGCGAGCCTGGCTGCACTATTTGTACGTTCACAGGTCTTGCCCTCGCTCTGCTCAGCCTGTCTCTCCTCACCACATACGCATTCCAGATTTCATTCTCTCTTGAGAAGAAAACATGGTTAACTACAGATAACTGAAAGCTAGTTTAAAAAAAACCAAACAAACCCACAAACAAGGTAAATACTAATGTTGACTAAAAATTATTCAATTATTTATTTTTTTTTAAATTCCAAATCAATCAATAGTCCATGCATGCCTGAAAAACTGCAGCTAGCAGCTATTAAATGGACAGATTCCTTACCTTAACATACCATAAATAGACTTAATTCATCAGTCATAAAAACGTAAAATGAAACTACCTTTTGAAATTCGTGGATGTGAGGGGTTACTAACATGACAACTTAGGCAGCTGTGGAGAGGACATCGAAACCCCCTGTTCTCAAACACAGTAAGATGAAATTTTTTCACACAAGCTTCATGGTAGAATTTTCCACAGTGGGATACGACACAGCGTTTTACATCTGCCTTTCTCTCTTTACACACAAAACAGGTATGCACACCTAGTGGCAAAAGTAATAAAAAAAATGTAACTAATTTTTCATCCAAACACATGAAATTAAAATGCTTCTTTTGTCAGTTTTTGTTATACATGGGGGAGTTGTTTTTGTTGTTGTTTGGGTTTTTGGTGTTTTTTTACAAACTCAAATCAAATTCTATTATTTGACACAGCAATCTATTTACTTTAACTCTTTATTGTTAAATACTAATCTGCTCAGATACAGATAAAGTTACAATGCAAACCCACTGCAGTTAAAGTGTACACAACACCCAAAGCCTCACCAATCTGCTTTTACGTTCTTATTTACAAGCCTCAGTACACCAGGATAACTGATTTGATTTGATTTGATTTGATTTGATTTGATTTGATTTGATTTGATTTTTAAAGCAATGAAATAGGATGATGGGTTGTCTGTGATCCTGTGAAATTTGATGTAGGTCCACAAACCAAAGACAAGCATCCTCTAATCGCCTCTCTGGACTGCTTGGAACAGCTTTATTTTGAAGGAACCTTGTTCCAACAAGGTTTACCATGTGTACTGAACTGAGCTTATGAGCAAGAACGCAAATCTTTTACGTAAAGTTTTAAGATTAAGAACTTCCAAGCAGTTATTATAGGATTAAAAGCAAATGAAATTAATAGCAATAAGGTAGTCTTTTAATAGGAAAAGCAAAAGATTGATATAGACACACAAAGGACTGAAAAAGGACTTAAAAAGTTTCACTTGCTGCTTTTTTTTCTAGGATTTCTTAAGTCTCTGTGACAGACTTTAACTCTAATCTGTAATTGTACTCAGAGAGCAAATATTCTGCAATTATTAAGGCAATGGAATTCAGACTAAATCAGGAATTCAAACTATAGGAACTCCCACCCTGCAGACACCAAAGGATAAATATGGTTTCTCCAGAGATCCATACTCTGTCCAGGAGGATTTCCAAGAACAATGTATGGGAAAACTACAACTTTTTGTGTTTGTTTGTTTTAATTAATAGAAAGGGACAAACTTGCCTGATGTACATTCACTACAAATGAATTTTCCTGCTGGTCTTCCAGAGAGCCCAAGGCAGCTTACATGAAAAGCTCGATAGCAAAGTCCTTCACACAGTAGGAGATCACCTGTTTTTTCACACAGCTTTTACAACACAAAGGCATTGAATGTTAAAGAAAAGTTCATATGTGGAAAAAACTGTTTTCTTTATTCCTTTTCATATATTGCTCCTCAAAATCTCTTTTCCCATTGTTGAAATAAAATTTAACAAGTGAAAGATAATTTTTACAAGCATCACCACATGCCCTGGCTTCCAGTTGAAACAGATAATAGAGTCATTAAACCACTAGAAATATCACTCATAGAACCACAGTTCATGAGTAAATACAATCTGACAGAAAAAAAAGGATAAGAAAAAAAAGCTTTAAGAAATATTCCCTGAGCACACTGACGCATCTGAGTAGGGTTAAAAAGCATCCTTATTTTCCTTTGCCTTGGCAAAAGGAAATTAATCTAGGTGGCACAATGATACTTCTAGGTCTGAGTGGTTAGCAATGACACATGCATAACTAAAAATGAACCGAACAATAATGCTGGCAGAATTTAAGAGATTAGCCAACATTTAAAGACAGATATAACCTCATCATCACTATGTACAAGAAATGGAAATATAACTGCTTGCCCAGTCTCGTGGAAACAAATTTGATCTGTCCATTTGTATTGCGTTATCATTTCATAGTCTAAGAACTCTTTTAGAATAGTTTGAGAAAGGTTTTGCTTTCAATTAGCATGCCACACGCACGCTGCTACCAATGCATCGCTGCAATCTCTGCTGCACATAGAAGCACAAAACCCACTGGTTTTTCACTTCCTCCTCTTTATTAACAGATAAATGAGCAGCTCTCCTCAGTCATTTAACCAGATACCTGGCCACACTCATGCACTTATTCTGAGGTAGAAATTATGCTTAGCTTACAGATCTGGAAACTCAGGCAGAAAGGCTAAGTCACTTATTGGAGGTCAAGGAAAAAAAAAAAAACCCAAACTAGGAATGAAGAATTCCGTTTACTGACACGGCACCCTCATCACGAATAGACATCTCAGACACATGATAAACCTGTTTCTGGCCTAATATTGTCATTTTCATATTTATAAAAGACTTTTTCTAGGAAACCTCAGAAAACATGGCTCACTGCCCCAGCTAACATTTCTCACCTGACACACATATTCTTTTTTTGTTCCTGCTCCTCGCTCAGATTTTTTGGATGATATAGACACTTCAGTCTGAGTTTCATCAGCACTTTCATAGGGAGACTCTGACCGCTCATCTCCTTGGCCATCGGAGATCTGAAGATTAAACATACGTGTTAGAGAAAGCAGTCATGTATGGTCATCTTGTACAGAATATCAACTGAAGCTCGCAAACAGACTGCAATTCAGACTAGCAGATTTAGGCACACTTTTTTGGTTTTGTTCCCCCCTCCCGTTAAAAAAAAAAATTGACTATGCATTTGTGGAAGTCTCATCAAAAGGACTATATAACAATCATCCTCACCAACTCAACAGCAGCCAAACCAAAACTTTGTAATACGGCATTTTATTTATACTCAGTTCTGTATCATGGTTAGCTAGACGTGCCCAGCCAGTAACATAGGGATACCTTCAGATATTAAACTTTGAAGATGTGTTTTATGAAAGAGAAGTCTCTGACCCAAATATTGTCCAAGAAAGTGGGAACAGTATGTAGAAGAGAGGAAGAAAGAAAAAAAGTGTCTCTGAATATATTTAAGGAATGTTAGAGCTAACGATGAATTCAAAATACTACAAAATATAGCCTCTGTTATGGATAAATCTTATATAACAGATCTAGAGGTATTAGCGAGGGTGGATTTTTTAAAATATTAATAATTTAAAGAAATCAACCCAAATAACATATTTAAAAGAAAATATAGGGCAGTTTTCAATTCAATAGAATTTGGGGAGGGAATGGGCAACTGAGTCATTTGCCTTATCTCACACCAGAAGATGCAGAACTTCCTATTGCTGCCCCTGGATGGTACTCAATGAGTTGTGTTTCACTACGTACGTTCTCCAGCAGGACATCACAATTTGCAATTGCACAAGAAACCTGTGACTTCTCTGTGAGCTTGTTCTAATGGTTATTCGTACACACCACCAAAAACATACTGCCTCATGTCCCTTTTGGGTTTCTAACCGCACCTCTCAGTTGATGATGCTTTCTCCAGGTATTTCAGCCATATTAAAAGCCCTTTGGGACCAGGCATTTTCCTCCTGTGGAAGCATGCTGCAATTAAGCCCATTTCAATCCTTTTTGGTAAGCCAGAACAGACTCTAGTTTTCTCCCTAAGGAACATTTTCCAGCATCAAGAGATTTTTGGTGCGTTTTCTCTAAACCTTATCTGTACTTTAAAATGGTTGTTGAAAAATCAGGCAAGAGAACTGGAGACAATAGCCCATTCCAAGTCTCATAAGTACACTATCCAAAGCAAACTAACATGCTACTCTTCACCGCTTCTGTTCTGCTGTCTAAGGATCTCCCTAAGTACTGAAAGTCACTGTAAATTGCCGCGGTACTCAAGAGATCATTTTGCCAATAGCCGTTTGTCAGGACACAGACACCCCACTTCACATGAAGAATTTGCTTTCTGTTTTCAGACACACCATCTCATATTTATCCATAGTAAACCACATTTTATTACAAATGGCCCGGCTTACCAAGTAATGAATACAGCTATGTGCGACCTCCCTATCAGCCAATGTCCATGTAATGTGCAAATTTATTAGAAGTGATTTATCTTGAAATCAGAGAGAAAAATGTAAAGCCGAACCAGTCCTAGCATTAGTCTTTATAAAATCCCTTTAGAAACACTGGTTTTGAGTGATTACTTCACACCGTTGCTGCCAGATCACGTGCTTTCCTCCATTTAACATCTGCTTTCCTTGACCACGTCTAAAAATATTTTGTAAATTGGATCAGATTGATGGTGGGTGGTTGTTTGTTGTTGTTGTTTTTTTCCCCAGATTACTTGTAATGTTTTAAATGCATTTCCTCTGTGCAAATGCATACCAACAAAGTGATTTATACCTACACTTCACCTATGAATATTTTGACAACCGGAGCGATTTCAGATTCTGCCCGACCATTTTAGAAGTGATTAGAAGAAACTGCATGCAAAATCATTGCTTTGGTCAGGCACCAGGAAACCTCTGTCCCCTGGAAGGAGCTGTGAAACAGTAAACTGCAAATGCAACCTGAGTGCCTGGCCAGGAGCAGCCAGTTCTTGCCAGGAAGGGGCAGATAAAGAAAGGTGGCGTGGGAGATTGGCAAAAACACAAAAACATTTTCCCCTACGGTCTAAGTAAATTTCCACACATGCTTATTGCTGTTTAAACTATTCCCACAGAAACATTAATTAGTATAAGCAGTGCACTGCTCTAACATTTTTAGTACCTCATTATGTTCCTGTTTCAACAAGCCAAAATTAGTCATGTTTAGAAAAGAAAAAAAAAAAAGAAAAGAAAAAATAAGCTCGAAGGTCTTAGTTCCGTATTTCTCTTCTACTAAAAAAAAAAAAAAAAGTATGCTTTATGTTCTAAATCAAACAAGCGGTCTTATGTTAACTTGACACTATGGTTGTTCCCCATCTTTTCCCTGAAAACCCTGAAAAAAACCTTGTGCAGCACACCTTGAGAGTTAAGATAGTCTTCCCAGCAGCAAAAGCTTGAGGAAAGCACTCCTCTTCCCCCAGCTCCCTACTTTTGAAGGCAGAGCAGAGATACACAACATATTCAGTGACAAATATATTCAGTCACAAGAGAATAAGGTTTGTTTCAAAGCAATGTTTTCCCAGCTTTTCTTTGGTTTATATACTTGTAAAACGTTCAAAGGAGGGATGCAGACCTCTATGTGGAAAGGTAACCTTATTGGCAGAGGACAGTTTTTCAGAAAGCCCCTAGATATAGGTCACAAAATCCCAGTTGTGAACCACAGGTCGACAGCCATTTTCCTACAGAACTGAGATTTTACTGCCTCAGAATGAATGTACCAGCCCTTCATTTAAATGAAACGGTTACTGAGCCAAAAAGGAGCAGCGCTGGCAAGAATCAAACTCTACATCACAAACGCAACCACAACCCCCAAATTCTATCAGCCCGTTCAAGATAAAACTTGGCAATTTACACCCGCCTGTAGATTAATGCTGGATTTCAAGCATGAATACCAACACACATAGCAGGAACAAAATCCCTTCAGTTCATCAACCGTATGGCTACCAGACTGAGAGTATCTTTCAAGATCTCTCCTTCGCAGCTGTCAGGAGCCTCACACACTTCACAAATCAAATGCTCTATTAACCACCAGCTTTGCACAACATAGACAAGCCTGGATACCTGCTCACGGCTGTTGCAACTCCTCAGAATCAATATATTCATAAGAAGCTCAGCGATAACTTCTACTGCCTGACGCAGGCTGCTGCTGCAGAATGCATGTCTTGATCCCTGCTACCACGACCAAAGGTTTAGCCATCACATCCAACAGCCACGTTATGTGTAACCCATGCACAGCTCGCATCCACTCCACCATCACCTCAAGAGTTTCATACTGGCTAACTTTAGGGGGCTAATAAAGGGGGAGGCAGATCCTCCGTTATAAGAGAGGGAAGCATTTCTTCAGGATAATTCAGAGTTTGAACTTGTCTTATTTATATCTTACAGAAAGGGAAATGCTTCCTACCAGCCATCTCCCTTTGCAAATAACCCCTGTTCTATACAACCGTCTTTCGGGAAAGCTCCCTCTGCGAGGAGAACCAGAATTCAAACACTCAGCTCCTGAAGTTATCCCAAATACCAGGGATGTGAAATGCATGTCTGTCCCTTCAGGCCCATGTAGAAGACGCTGAGACGACCTTCATCTAATGTTTCTCAGAGAGGACTTACAACCTAATGGCAGGCAGGGCACGAGAAGGTTAGTTGTACCCCAAGCAAGCTGCAGCGGCACGAATGCGTTCTGATTCACCAAGCGGACAGTTGAGTTTCACAATAAAAATACGTTTGGATTAAAACAGTCACTAACTAGATGATTTACAAGACGATTGCTGGAAATCAGTTTATGCTGAAGTGAAACAGCCACGTCTAAAATTAAATGTAACACTTTTGTGGTTTGTTAACACAACTTTCTATAATGGAAGGTCTAATAGTTCACGTGCAAGTGCCCAAATCACAGCATTCAATAAAAATCAGCACAGGTTTTTGGGGGCTTTTTTTTTTCTTTAATTGTTAAGTTACAAACGTAAATCTTTCCCTTGTGATCATGCCAGAGCTTGTCTTGTCCTTACTTTTGTAATATAATCTCCTTAGCAAAGTAAACTGCATGTAATTAACTCTCTGATATTCAGGCCAAGGTTCAAAGTAATCAACATTTAGATTAGTGGCAAAACCTGTTAATTAGCAATTTGTAGCGATTGCCGGTTTGCTATTATGTTCCGTTTTACATTTTGAGTAATTTCTTATTTCTCATAAAGGCAAAGTACTACTTTCAAGAGCGCAAATTCAGGGGAAAAAAGGCAAGGCTGTTCACTTCAGATTTATAGCAAGTGCCAAGTTTCTGCAATGAAATCGTACCCAAATTCTATAATCACCTCCACTTTTCATTAGCAATTAACGATGCTGCAACATGGAAGATACCCTTCTGCTGAAGTTAGTGTCATCGCAAGCACCACCGGACTTTATGTTCTGCACATCAGTCAGGCTTTCCTTCCCATTTCCTTGAATTATTGAACGTCAACGCTATTTTGCGAGGACTTGCCTGAAGAGGCTTTTCACACCGCACTGCCTGAACACTCAGCAACTGGGTGGTATTTCAGAAATCAAATCCGGCTCTTGTTACTGGAAACAGCACATCTGCGTACACAAGTGAGAGGGGAAAAAAACTGGCCTAAAAACCAAATCATGAGGAGCTTTGCTCTTCGTTTGGGCTGGGCCAGAACTTACTTCAGGGATTAATGAATACAGGTTCAGAATACAGTTGCTCGCAGAAGCGACAAATTTACTGTCAGATTCCCAAGGCAATCTTTCCTTTCCCACGTGTATCAGTTATTATTCACTACTCACACACGTAAGACTTGAAGGGAACATGTAAGGACACGTGACTGCATTTTTCCAAGTTCTCCATAGTTTTGTTATTGGAAAAACACTTGTTACTGAGTCAAACGGGGACAAAATTTTGGCATGTCTGTAAATTCTTCGGGTTTAGTATTATATTTTTTACCCATGAAAAGATACAAATCGTGGCAACGTGTTATTAGTTATTCAGTTTATTCATCTGAAGG